GGAGCCTGCGTTTGCAGTGTGCCAGCTCCAATAAATAAACCTGTCTTCTCCATCTTCACCCACATCCCCCATGGACTCTAGGGGGCCATCTCTAGAGCGATGATCAAGGATGATACCAAAGGGACCAATCAGTCAATGGTGTAAAGGCCAGTGGTGGCCACTAGATGTCAGTGTGGGCTCCCCTGGCTCATTAAAAGGGCTGGGGGCGGGGCATTTCTCCAACTGCTGCCCAGATCCAACCCTACCCAGGGCAGAGGTCATTTATGGAGCACATACCAGCTGGCGGACTCCATGCTAGAAGCTCTGACACTCTATCTCATTTAATGCTCACCACCCTGAGAAGCAGGTACAGGCCCACATTCCTTATCTGAAACCACTGATACGTGTTTTCAGAATTTGGAATTTTTCAATCTTAGAAAGGTAATAGTGTGCCTGGGCTGTTTACCATGCCAGACCTCCAGCAGGGTCCGGGCCACATCCATGGCCACATACAGTAATCCCTCTGCAGCGAAACATACGACTATTCACATTAAGACTACGAACAGCCTCAGTTCAGGTTTTGCCACCAGATCTGTTATTTTGGAATTTTGGATAAGGAGTTGTAGGCCTACATTTTATTTCCTGCAGGTATACAGAATTGGAAACTGAGGCACAGAGAGATTAAATCGTTGCCCAAAGCCACACTCTGGTTTAGACCCGGGAAGGGCTTGACTCATCGCTGATGCCTCTTCACCAGTCCTCAGCGCCCCTGGGTCAAACCAGGGAACCCTCACAGATGCAGTGAGCCTGTCCTGGGCCCCTGGAGGATTCTGCTGACTTCTCTGCAGTGCCCACATCTCCCCTTCCTCCCCTCCCCAGGTCCCCCCAGCTCACGGTGCACATCAAGCTCAATGGAGGTCTCCCTGCCACTGGGGGCGGCCTCGTTCATGCTGCGGCAGGTGAAGACACGCCCGATGTCCAGGTCTGTGGGGTTGATGAGCAGCAGGCTGACGGTGGTCTCCCTCTTCCCGTCCTTCAGCAGCTCCTGGGGTGGGACCAGGTGGCAGGCAGGGTCAGGCTAAGAGCCCCTCCCTGCTCTCAGGATGGCGGACTCTGAGCTAGACCCCGCTGGAGGGCGCTTTAACCTAAAGCTCAGCCCCGTCCCCAGACCCAACCTCTCCTTGGGTTTTGTTTTTAATCAGTAGATTTATTTTTCAGAAAAGTTTTAAGTTTAAAAAAGAAAAACTGAAAGAGAAGGCCCATGTGCCCTCTTCCCTCACTCCCCCCCCCCCCGATTCCTGGAATTCTCTGAGTCCAGCTCAAGCCCCTCCTCTTCTGCTAAGTCTTCCTCGGCCATCTCAGGCCCCAGGACTCACCCAGCCTGCACCTGGGCCCCTCGCAGGCAGCCTGTCCTGCATGATGCTCTGGGCTCGTTCTGCCCTGTCCTTAGGCACTGGGCCTGGGTTTTTCTGAGTTGGGTCTCTCCTGCTGGCCCGTAAACTCCTCGAGGGCAGGGAATGAGCTCACAGGCCCTAAGTCTCATAGTTATCATACCGACTCTGTGGATCAGAGGAGCCCGGGGGCTGTTCTCCTATTGCAGGCTGCCCAAGGCATGCCACGCTATGAGCCAACGTTACACACTTCTCCCCTGGGTGCAGACTGGCTCCCTGTGCCGCCTGGCAGAGCCAGTGCTTTAATGAATATAAAAGAGGGGGGTGGACAACAAGGGCCACTAACAAACCAGCTTGTTTGGTTGCCAACATATTTCAAAACATGTAGCGCTGAAGGAGAAAAGGAACAGAGTCCTTGGTGGTGAGAGAGTCAAGCACCACGGAGGCCAAATTCTCGTTTGTCAAATGGTGAAGCTGAGGCCAAGGAGAAGTGAGCTGTCCAAGGCGTCAAGGGCGGAGCTAACCCAGCTCGCCCTGGGGCGGCCCTCACAGGCCCACAGGTGAGCATCCCTCTCCCACCAGGGGAGGTGTCTCTGCAGCTCTTAGCCAAGGGCTGGGTACACATGTTTGCCTGCAGCTGGCAGAAGGAGCTCGGAACAGGAGATCCCCGTGAACTCTGCCAGGTGATCCTGGGCAGGTCGCCTGCTGCCTTTCTCTGCCACAGGCTCATCTATGAAATGGACACAGCGATCCCTGCCTCCTCAGCCTCTGAGCCAACTACAGGAGGGGAAGGAGGCGAGGGCAGGGTGGGCAGAGCAGTCTGACCTAGGTACAAACCCAGCTCTGCCGCATGCCAGCTGTGTGACCTGGGGCAAGTCTCTCCACCTCTTTGACCATCAGCTTCCTTGCTGTGAGTTGGAAATAACACTAACTCAGGAAACTCCTGTGAGGGTCAGAATTACTGTCCACAGAGAGCTTCACATCCACAACACTTGACACAGTGGGTGTCTCCTAACGTGGCTGTTCTGGCTACCGTTCTTGGTCTCTGCTCAGGACTGAATGGCATCATGAACCTGGAGATTCATTTCTCTGCTCTGGGCCTCTTTTTCCCAATCATAACAAGACGGTTGGTCCAGATGACCTTTAAGGCCCCTTCTCGATCTGCATCCGAGTCAGACTCAGGGAGGAGGGAAAGATGACCTGGGATGAGGCCCAGGAGGGGGCGGAGAGCATGCAGGGTCTCACCGTGCTGGCCACAGCGCCCTCCTGCTGCGTCCCATCCCGGAACCAGATGATGGTCGCCGCAGGCTTGGCATTAAAGGCTCGGCATGTGAGGTTGTAGGGGATGCCTGCTTGCAGCAGCAGTACAGGGCCGCCATCGATCTTCGTGTCCTCAGGGGGGACTGTGGGAGAGAGCAGAGCAGTCGGTCCAGGCTCCAGCCCTGCCCTGGGGGCATCCCTCTCCTGGTATGTCCACCCTGGGGGAGGCAGTGCCACCGGCACCCCCTAAATGGAAGTCACCACACCCAAGGCCCTCTGCTCACAGCTTCCTGCCCTCCTTCATCCATTCTTTTACAGCCTGGACTGTATTCTGATACTATATCCCGTCATTCTCAAGGCTACAGACAGATGAGGGGAGTGGCCTCAAATTAGGAAAGTGCAGCGCTAGCTCAGCGCTAGCTAGTACAGCTCCTAGGGGCGGGGGGAAGGGCAGTGGCCTGGCACAGAAAGGACAGAAAGGTGCTACCTCCGCAGTTTCTTCCGTCCATTCTGCCCTGGGGCAGCCAGAGGAACCAGTCTGCTACAGCCGGTCCCAAGTGGCTCCTGACTCCCGTCCCTGCTGGCCCCGACCCACCCGTCCATCACAGCGCAGCTAAGACCGGGCCCCTCCCTCGCTCACACACCTTCAGTGGCGACCATCCACTGTGGGCAGGAGGTCCCAGCACCTCAGCCTGCTGCTCAGGCCTCCTCCTGCACTTGCTCACTCCTCATCTTTGCTTTTGCCCCTTTCCTCACAGCTTCTGTTGAAGTGCTACCCATCCTATTTGCATCCTTCCCTGCCATGTCCCCCAACACCACCTCGGTGGTCCTGGCCAGCCACCCAGAGCTCCTCCCACCATGCACCTAGTGTTTGGGTCACTGATGCTGATTATCCACACCCCCACCCACCAGAATCATTCCTGGAAAAGCAGAGACCGGTCTCACTGATATTTAGTCTCCAGTGCCCAGCACGTGGCTGAAGCAGGCTCTTGCTAACTGCTTCAGAAATTGAGATGCAGGAAATTGGGAACCCCCTCCCGGTCCAGTTTCTCTCCTGCTCAGGTGAACCAGACCACTAGCGCCCTGAGGGCAGGGACTGCTGCCTCTTTTATCTTAAAGCTCCAGTGTCCAGCCCGGAGCTGGGTGGTGAGCAGATGCTCAGGGCTATTCCCTGAATCACTGAGCACACGATTGATGAGAGACAGGCGGACACATTCTGATTACAATCCTCTGGTCCACCTGGTGTTCACTGGGCCAGAAATGCAGAGGGTTTTGCTGGTTGTTTGCTGGGAAAGACTCAGAGGGGCTGAGGGAACCCCACCGAGTGGCCCTGGGAGGCCCATGGAGCCAGTGGTGGGCAGGACGTCCTGAAGTTTAGGAAACGGTGGTCTCCAGGCTGCGGTCCCAGCAGAAAGGAGTCTGTCCCAGAGTCCTGCTCCACTCACGCGTGCGGAGTGGCAGAGGGAAAGCATGGAATGGAGAACCAGCTGTCCTGGTTCTAAGCCCTGCAACCTCTATGTACTTGTCTTATGATCTCAGGTGAGTCCCTCAGGTCACTGAGCCTTCATTTCTTCAACACAGACATGACATGCCTGCCTCCGGGACCACATGAAGGTCAGGCGGGGCCCTGGGTATGGGCTGGGACGTGCAGGGCCCAAGACGTGGGGAATGTGTTAGTTTTACTGGCTAGCGAATCACCCATTGAATGCCTGGCTTCTCCTCTTTGCTCTCTGGTATACCCCGGTCCAGCGCCGGATGGGTGCAGGTTTGGAAATGGTGGAAGAAGAGAAAAGTGGGAAGACGGATAAGGAGCCGCCACTCAGGGTCTCCTGCTCCTCCCGGGGTCCTCCCAGGTCACGAACACCTGGCATCACGTCCAGGAGGGAGGTCCTGGCTGAGAACAGGCCCTGGTGCCCAGGATGTGGGACGGGAGGTGAGGGACACTCCAGACACAGGAGTCCCTCCTGTGAGCAGGCTTCTCTTCCCCACTCGCCCTTCCCCTGCACCCGCGGCCCTTTCGCAAAGACTGTCTATTCGTCTCTTGTCACTCGCCCACCTTTCTCTTTGAATCTGGGGCAAAGAAACATAGGTTGTTAAAGTATCCGATCAGCCATAGGTGAGACGGCATCTGTTTGTTTATGAACACAATTTTATGATTCGAGACAAATTTGCATATCAATATGTTGGTGGCCTCAGTTTCCTTGTTTGTATAATTGAAAAAAGAACATTGAGCCCTGGCCGGTGTGGCTCCGTTGGCTGAGCATTGATTGCCCTGGGCACCAAAGGGGTCACAGAACATTGACACCGATTCCCTAGGGCTGTTAGCGTGCCAGGAAAATGAGGTCTGAGGTCAAGAATGTGCAGGCCCCTGTGAACTCTAGTGTCATCTACACTGAATGCTCATCACGTGTCCAAGTGCCCTGTGCATATGCTGTCACTGAATCCTCAGCACCACACGTATGTCATTGCTCTTTTCATGGTAAATGCCGTGACCCCCAATTTACAGGGAAGGTGCTGAGGCCCAGGGAGGTGAGCCGATGTCTGAGCTCAAGGGCAGGGCTGGGAGGCGGACCCGGCCCGCTGACCCCGAGCCAGGCTCCTCATCGCTGCACTGGGGCTGTCACCGCCGTGAGGAATGAAGGAGCCGTAGGTCTGTTGGTTTAGATGATGTCTGTGTCTCTCTGGGGGCTTGGAAGGCAGCTTTTCAAAGTCTCGCTGCAGGAAGACGGGAAGGCCATTCTGCGAAGAGGGCAGCCTGGGGTGGGTTTTGGAGGAGAGAGAGCCCTGAGGGGCATGGCTGCTGATGGGTGGTGGTGGATGTGAGGAATGTCCTGCCTTCTCATTGCCTCCTGAGACCGCAGGTGGCGGGGAGCTTGAGGATTCGGGAGAGACAAAGAGGAAACGGAAGCGGTCAGACTACCCTTTCCTCTTTGATGCCGGGGCCTTTTCCTGCTCCCCTCCCCGCCCAAGTCACCCAGATGGTTACAAAGGTCCACACCCTCAGCACCAACCCTGCCTACCTGACAAGCCAGTCCGCTCTCCCACCATGTGGCTCTGCCTCACTGGCTTGCAAGCTTTTTAACAAGTTACTGTCCCTGCAGGGTTCCCATTTATAGTCTCCTCTTCCAGTCAGCCTTCCTGGATTGAACCAAGCCTCTGGGGACCATGATAAGCCCCGTTCCTGCAATGCTTGGATGGCCTTTCTCCATTTCTCTTTAGTCCTGAATACCATTGGGTAGGAAAGGGAAGGGAAAATAATCAGACCTTCTCATTCGGATGGAGCTCTCCGGATGGCCTTTCTCCATTACTCTTTATTCCTGTCTACCATTGGGTAGGAAAGGGAAGGGAGAGTAATCAGACCTTCTCATTCGGATGGAGCTCTCCAGGGCACCTATTCTAGCACCTAAAACCGAGGCGTCAGAAAGGGAAGTAGAAGAAGCCCACGGTTCCCCTGGAATGCCTGGTCCATGGGGCTCACACTCTCTAACCAGGGATGGAAGATGACGGCTTATCTTCCCAAGCCCACCCCTGGCGGTCAACTAACGCTCGCTCCCCAATCTCAGGCCTGCTCCTTGCGAATTCTTCCCATTCCGTCCTCACCAGAGAGGAAAAGCAAGTCACACCAGCCTGCTGTCCTAGTCCTTCAGGGCCTTTGCACCCAACAGTATTGGCTGTGGGGTTCTTCCCTCGTTTGCCCAGACCCACAGCTCACAGCTCCTTGCACAGACCGCAGCAAAGCCGTAGCTGCTAAGAAAAGGCCGGCTTCATGATGCCACGTTACCGATAAGAAAACTACTGGCCAGAGGTCATGACCTCTTCTGACACTTTGTGCAAAAATGGCCCAGGTCTCCTGACTCCCAGTCCAGGGCTCTGCCTGCCACACTCAAAGGATTCGCAAGCCTCCCCGCAACCCCAGGAAAAAACTTCCTGTGTCCGAGCTCCCTCATCTCATTACCTTGCTCCTTCCTCCTATCCCTCCTGGGGGCTGCCCCGACTTCAATGAATTCTGGTTAGAGGAAGAAAAAGAGGGAGCGGGGCAGATCCAACAGAGGCCGGAAGAAGGAAGGGACCGAGGTGATAACAGAGAGGAAGACAAGGGTCACAGGCCGGTGGAGTCAGGCACAGAGAGAAGCAGAAGGGAGGCAGAGGCCCAGGGAGAGCCACTGAGCGTGAGGGAACAGAAGGACGGTGGAGCGGGAGGTCCTGCAAGAGAGGCTGGGCATGCCCTGGCCAGTTTGGCTCAGTGGATAGAGCGTTAGCCTGCGGACTGAAGGTCTCAGGTTCGCTTTCGACCAAGGGCACATGCCTGGGTTGTGGGCTCGATCCCCAGTAGGGGGCGTGCAGGAGGCAGCTGATCAGTGATTCTCTCTCATCATTGATGTTTCTCTCTCCCTCTCCCTTCCTCTCTGAAATCAATAAAGAAACATTTTTTTAGAAAAAAAGAGAGGCCGGCAGTGGAGCAGGACACTCTGCACTGGGTCGGGGAGAGGCCCATCATTATGGAAATGGCCCTGGTGCTGCCGCAGAGGAACATGAGCCCTGCGCCCCTGGGGTGGCAGCTGAGAGACAGTGCCCACTCCAGGGCCCTCCGGTCCTGCTCCCCTGCTCCCCGAGGAGGCCTCCACGGGTGTCTGAGGAGGAGGGTGAGTGCTGAGGGCGGAAAGGAGGCGGAGAAGGGGAGGAAGGGCTGAGTGTGGCTAAGAAGGAGCAAAGGGGGCAGGTTCTGGGGTCGGAGAGAGCCGAATGGGAGAGAGAATGGGAGAAGCTCCCTCTACCGGGAGGGGCTGGGAGAACAGGCAGGGTCTCCACCAGCCTAGCCCTCTGCCCTGGCCCAGGGAGCCTGTGTCCTAGGACAGCCTGGGCACAGGGTGCCAGACCTCACACCCCACATGTCCCTCAGGTGTCTGCCCAAGTCCCCATTTCACTTTCTTCAACCTGGATCTGGCTCCAAAAGAAATTGAAAGAATGCCCTAGCTGGTGTGGCTCAGTGGATAGAGTGCTGGCCTGCAGACTGAAGGGTCCTGGGTTCGATTCCAGTCAAGGGCACATGCCCAGGTTGCGGGCTCGATCCCCAGTAGGGGGCGTGCAGGAGGCAGCCGATCAATGATTCTCAATCATCATTGATATCCCCCCACCTGCATCATTGATATTTCTCCCCCTCTCCTTTCCTTTCTGAAATCAATAAAAATATATTAATAAGAAAAAAAGAAGTTGAAAGAAGGAGGGGGGGAGGGAAGGCTAAGGAGAGAGGGTCATGGGGCAGGCGTGAGGCCAGGAGCAGAGGGAGAAGGAAGATGGGAGGGGCTGCCAGGTGCCAAGAGAAAGAGGCAGAGGAGTGGGCTGAGGGCATGGAGGGGGGTGGGGCTATTACTGAGCACGGTGAGCTTGGCCCTCCGGGAGCGCAGCGCGGCCTCCGTGGCCTGGCATTCGTAAGAGGCATCGTCAGAGAGCTCGGCGTCTGTGATCTCCAGGTTGTACTGCCCGGCATCCGCGGAGCCCACGACCCGGTACCGTGGCCAGGCTGCAGGGACAGAAAGGGGGAGCCCAGCGTGAGCCCATCCCCACGTGGGAGCCAGCCCAAGTGACCCACGTTTATCCTCTGCCCGCTCCTCATCCCCACACCAGGGTCCACACCCCACTCCCAGCCAGCGCCCTCCTCCGCCCTCCTTGGGAACCCATCTCAGCAGATAGGGATCAGGTCCCAGATGTGGGTGCCGTGACGTCATAACCTCCCACAGTGAGGCTGAGGGTCATAACACAGAGGAGGAGGGATGGGGTGGACACGGGAGGTGGGGAGGGGGTGGAGGTGGGGGAGCAGAGCAAATCTCTAAAGCAGTTTGCAGAAAATGGTCCCTCATAATAATAGGAAAGAGAAAAAAATAAATGTGACAACAGAGAAAGAAGAGGAAGGGGTGGGGGGATGTGGGACATTGCAGCACCGACAGGAGCTCATGGCCCAGAGGAAGGCCAAGGAAGCCGAGGCCTCACCCTCACTTGCCCAGGGAGGGATGGTGGGGCAGGTCCTACCAGCTCCCTGCGGAGCCCGAAACCAGAGATCCTGTTCCCCAAAGAAGCCGTGGCTGTGGCTGGTGGGCCTCAGAGAGTCGGGCTCTGTATTCAGTCTCCCTCGATACTGCCCAGCCCCTCACTCTCCTGCCCCCGCTCCTGTGCCCACATCAGCTCCCTCCCACTCTCTCCCTCTGTCTGCAGGCTATTGATTCATCTCACTCCATATCCATTGATCTCTTTCTCTCTCCCAGTTTCTTTACCTTCCTATCATCAATAGATCCACCAGACCTATCTCTTCCCTTTAATCAGATTGCTTTATACAGACAAATCTCCCCTTCCCCTCTGCATTAATACATGACATCCACAGCAAGTCATCCCAACCCCTCCGACAATAATAAACATATACAGCCCCTCCCAGACTCGGTCCTTACACGGCTTTATGGTGTTTTCACAAAGTATATTCTCATTTGGTTCAAACTCACAAATGCACGTATAAGGCGACAGGCCTGGGACTCTCACACTATTTTATACGGTGGCAAGCCACCGCCCAGAGAGGTGAGTGACCTTCCTAAGGTCACCCAGCAGGTAGGTGGCGGAAGAGCACTAGCACCAGGGCCTGGACTCCTCATCTCCTCGGCCAGGCGGCCTCTCCAAAGAATCTCTAGGTACTTTGGAATTCAGGAGGTTGGGTTTGGGTTTGTTTATTTATTTAACTTATTACCAACTCTTATTTGCTTCAGCACTGGCTCCAGGGCGCTTAATAAAAGCTTGTTGAATAAATAGATAAATAAGTGCTCAGGCTGATATTAAAGTGAGTTTTCAGCCTCTGAGCAGACATTGCTGGGCAGGGGCAGGGGCAGGGGCAGGGGCAGGGGCAGGCGAAAGGCTGGAGCAAAGCCAGTGGCATAAACATGGCCTGTCTCTCTCCTGCTCTGCAGGGAACTCTCCCAGCACCTTCTGCTTCCCCTGCTTCTGCCTGAAGCAGCTCTCCTGGTTTCTGTCTGTCTGTCTGTCTGTCTGAACTCTTTTACATGAAGATCTCCGGTTTTCTTTGGTCTCTCGGGCTCCTCATTGCCTTTCTTGAGCGAGTCCATAGGAAGAAACACAGAAGAGCAGGGTTTGGGGAAAGCGGGGAGGAGAGGAGAGAGCCCGACCACTCCCCCGAGAAGAGCCTGGGGCAGAGAGAAGGGAGGCCGAGGCCGGAGTCTATCGGGGGACAGAATGGGGGGGGGGTGGTCCACAGATGGGATCGTCAGGATGCCGGCTAGCTGGGTGACCCCACTCACCTTTGAGTCCCTGGCCCATGCCCAGTGCCAGCCCATCCTTGGTCCATTGCACAATCCCCGAGTAGTTGAGCAGCACGCAGGGGAGCACGGCCCGCTGTCCGGCCACCACGGTCTGGTCGGCTGGCTCCTGGCTGAAGCGTGTCTGGGTCCCTGTCAAAGCCAAAGGCGGCACCGGGTAAGGAGATGCATGGGGAGAGGGGATCCATCCAGAGGCAGCCACTCCCAGCTCCTGCTCTTGTCCTGCAGGCTCCTGCTCCTGCCCTGCAGGCTCCTGCTCCCGCCCTGCATTGGCTGGAGAGAGAGGAGGCCTGGGCCACGGACCCTCCCGTCTGCCCACTTCAGCCCCAGGTCCTTCCCTGCAGGATGCCACACGCTCACCCCGATCCCTTCCTCCCTCCATGGACCCCAGGAATGGTTACAGGAGCTGGAGTGCTCAGCACTCATAGGAAGTGGAACACTATTAGCAATGGCCTTGGCGACGGGGCTAGTCAAACCCTCTCAGCTTCCAGATGAGGACACTGAGGCCCTAACCAAGGACACCCAGTGGGTTAAAGGCAGAGCTGGGATTCGAACCGGAATCTCAGAACTCCGGGCCCCAGGCTCTTCCCTCCCACTGCCCCTCGCTGACACCCGTGTCAGTCAGCGCTGGCTCACAGTGCTTAATAAAGGCTTGTTGAATTAATGAATAAATAAGTACTCAGGCTGATATTATAATGGCCGTGGCCTCTGAGCAGGCATCGCCGGGGCAGGAGGCAGAGAGAGACTGGAGCAAAGTAGGCGTAAAGCACATTCCAGTTCCAGGAAGCCCGTCACCAACGCCGCCGGTGACGGTGCGGTCCCCTCCGTCCTGAGACATGAATACACCATTGCACCCTACTTGCACATGCTCTGTGTGAGCCAATGTCAGGGAACACACATGTGCGACCATGTGGTCCCGCTCCCTATGAATGCGTCCAGCAAGTGCTAAGGGCAGCTTCTATGGGGCAGGTGTGCCCAGGTGTGCAGAGCTGCCTGAGTGGCTGCGTATCCAAAACCAAGTGCCTATGCCCCTGCTGCATGGCACACGCCCTGTCCTGTGTGTGTAGTTCTGGCACATACTGTGGGAGCTGCATACAGCCACCCGCTGGCAGCCGGGCCTGGAGCACTTGATTAGAGAACCGCAGAGTAATTGCCTTTAATGGTGGAGCAGGGAATCGGACGGCGGTTTCTTCTCCCCACCACTCCCTGCGCCTGCCTGCAGCCCGCGTGCCCAGCCCAGGGGTGGGCAGGCCCGGGCACGGCGCATGGCCTCAGGGGCAGAGCCTCAGCTTCTGCACAGGGCTGTGGGAAAGAGGGCAGAGGTGGAGGGGCTGCGGGACAGCAAGGGAGAGGTCTGGGCATCCTCCCACGTCCCCAATTTGTCACACCACTGTAACCCGAATCAATTTTCCCCAGGACGCCTTCCCCTTCTTTTCCTCTGCAGCTCCCAAGTCTTTGCAGAGACCCCCATCCCAAATCCAACTGTTTCCAAACTAAGTTTTCCAAAATTTCTCTGATTCTCCATTATGCTGTATATAAGGAAGCAAATAAAACCTGTCCCTCCCCCTTCCAAGATGTCCCTGTAAATTATGAGACAGGATCCTAGTCTTGTCCTCCTCTTCTTTTTTCCCCCTCCCCCAGCTTCATTTCTCCCCTTCTTTCCAAAGCTGCTCCACTTCCAGGAAGTCCTCCAGGATTTGCCCCTTAGCTCCTTGGGCAAACAGCTTGTCCCATCACTCGGCCCTGCTGCCACAGGCCTGTCCATGGGATTTCAGATAGTCTGTGCCCATGCTTTTGTTTGTCATGGGATGGAGGGCAGTGGGTGGGTGGGGTGTCTGCCCTAACTGTTTGCCAGAATGAGAACCTCTGCTCAAGGCAGAGGGCTGTAATATCTTTCTCCTCTAAATTTCCCTGCACGTTTGACATCCAAATTGGTTGCTGCACATAAAGGGACCAAGAAGAGGGGGCCGGGCCAGGAGTGACTGACGGCCAGCTTATGATCTAATACACAGAGGAAGCATCTTTCGGTTAAGTGTGCAAATCTAGCTCTTTGGGTCTGCGGGGGATCCGGGAGTTGGAAACGGGGCTCCTCCCCCACACCCGTGAGCAGCTCCCCAACTCTGCTGACCTGGCAGTCCACCCATGTCTTCTAAAGAGGCAAAGGATAGGCTCGCCCGTATTTCCAGGGGAGGGGGTGGGTCAGGTGAGCAGCCAGCATTATTAATTCAGGCACTGTCCTCATTATTATTTAAATTTATTCATATCATTGCGCATTTCTCCAGTGTAGCTTCATGCTGCAAACTCTCCACACTCATGCTTCTCCTTCCACGGCCCCCAGAGCCCGAGTCAAGGGCTTGGGAGTGGGGCAGCCGGAGAGCCGTGGCTCAGAGATGGAATTGATATTCACAGCCTTCCTGCCTGGGGCTGGGACACCCTGGTTTCCTAGGGAAGTCTCCAAGGACAGCAAGAAGCTGGCTCCCTGTCCACTGAAGCAAGCCGGCGGCCACCTGCAGTGGGACAGTCAGCAGAAGCCCTTGGGGTCAGAGTCGGAGGCGGAGATCTTGCCGGAGGGCGGAGTCCATGACCTTGGCCTTCCCCTCCCCTGTCTGGCCTGTGTGTGCTCACCTTTGCAATGATTCCAAAGACAAGTCTGGACGAAGAGCCGCAAAGCTTCCTTTTAAGAGCACAAGCTCAGGAGACAGACGGGCTCACGGAGTGCGCCTGCCCCTTCCTAGCTGTGTGACCTCGGTCAAGTCACTTACTCTCTAAGCCTCGTTGCCCTTATTGGTGAAGGAGGGGTGCAGACACCTCTTGGGGTGCTATGAAGGTTGAATGGATGAGGCTATGACATGC